CGGCTGCGCCTCCCTGGGAGCCCGTAGATGAAATCTGGGAGGCGGCGGTGTGCCATGTTTGCTGCCCGGCGATGGCTCGTAGGGGTCCGAGCTTTGCCTAACGCCGCCTTTGCTAATACCGTGGATAATGGGCCGCTGATGGATTGCGGCGAAAACCCAAAATACGTGGGAGGAGAACTGTATTTTTAGATACAGAGTTGCAAAACTGTCAGTCTTAGAAGTCCGGTCACGATAGCTTCCCGCGGGCTGTTGCTTTCACTTTTGCTTCCTGATAACTAATCTCTGAATGTGTATGGGAAGGGCAGAATTGAGAGGGTGGTAATGAAAACGGGATAGAGGGAAGTATTATTGGCAAAACTCTGATTACCTAGTTTCCAGACCTTTATTAATTTCTTATTGTAGTTATGAAAAGCATATGGTTTTAAGAAATTACGGGAGTACAAATCCAGCGAGAGCACAGGTCTCTTTCCTTGAATACGTTTTTACTTGTGCATGCCTGGCCAGGAGTCACGTCTCCGAGTTTTGTATGACAAACTGTAAGAAGTTTGTTTCTACAGTCAGACTAGTTGAGCAAAGCATATTAGAAACAGCTTTTATCTAAAACTATATCAGCTTGTAGAAGAGTACAGCTACTGGTTTGCCTTGTTATTCATACAGCTCAGGCCTTTCTACAGAAATACTTTTTAAAACTTGTAGGATATGCTTAAGTGTAATTGCAGATTGTCCCTTTCATTTGAGTCTGCCACTGAGAGCCTATCCAATTTTAACACCGTACTGGTGAAGTGAACCTATGCAGAAGAGTGGAAGCCACATTTTCTGCACTGTTTTTACCTCTCGTTTTCTGCCTTACTATGTCATTTGTGTACTCTGCAGTCTGTTAGGATAGAAGGAGTTTAATACCTCCTGATTTTCCAGTTAGTCATTGGGCTATGCTTATTGTTACACTTACAGTTTGATTTTTTTTTTTTTTGTATTGTCTTTCAAGGCTGACTTGGTTGGACTCCATTAACTTAAATACACATTGGATCAGGGCCATCTTCATTTAAAAATATCATAGGCAGTGTTTTATGCAAGACAGTAACATTTTGATAACATACGGTGTGGGTGGGCAAAAGACAAGGCAAGAGCAAAAAGGATTGTTATGCAAAGAGGAAATTTGCGATTAGGAGAATAAATTGCTTTTATCAACGTTTGTGATATTGTTGAGGGTTTTCCTTGGTTATTAAATACTAACAAACTTGAACACCTGAAAATATCTTTTATAAGTTGTGAAATATTTTTTTTAAACAAAATATTAATACTAAAAAAAAAAAACTCTAGTAGTTTTGAATACCAGACGAGTCACAGATATGTAATTTCATTAAGTATACTTTGTTGAAAGGCAGTGCCATTGTCCTCATGAATGAAGAACAAAATCAAATTACTCAAAATCCAAGTCTGAATTAAGAACATGAATATATATTCTTAGGAAGTTCTGAGGCCTTTCCTTCTAACTTACAGAAATAGGAGCAGTGTAAAAGCTATTTTAATAAGAGAACTGTTAAATTCTGATCATTCTTTGCTAGATTGAAGCTTCTGTTGAGGTCTAATGTTCTCAAGTATTCTCTTTGGAGAAAAACTTTCTTTGCTTCTTTTGGCCTTGGTAGTACTGTTTTCAGTTGTAGCTTATGTCACTTGTTATCTTCAGTTAAAATACTAAAAGCTTTCTGGGTGGTGGAAATTTTAACAGAATTATGCACTTAATCATTTTAACTTGAGGTTCTTGGACTTTTTAGCTTTGGACTAAGCAAGCTTTCTGAGTGTGTCTTACAAGAAAGGAAAGGAGGTAGAAATGTGTTTTCATAAAAATACCATTTTCATGAAAAGATACAAGACCGCGGGTAATTACTAGGATACTATGAGTCATAAAGATTAACAGTTTCTGCTTTATAATACATTTCTAAAACATTGTATATTTTCTGTTTGCTCTATATCCACACGTGCTTTTATTTAGCATTTAAATAAAATTTTAGCTATTACAGTTCTTAGTATACTAAAACTTAATCCTTAAATTAAAAATATTCCCTTCAGAAAACAGGAGGTTTAATCTTGGAGCTTGGGTCTCATGCAAAGGATCTTCAGTGAGAAGTGTGTGGCATACTCTTTCTGTTATTCAAGTTTGGTTAATAAAATTAACACACTCAGTAGGTCATGTTTAAACTTCACATGGCACAGTCAGTCTGATAGTACTTTCCATATAGCTGAAAGCATTACTATGTTGAGTGTGTCAGCATTATCTATGGGAATTTTTGAGAAATACCTCTGAGGCTCAGAAAAATTATCTCCCTCCCCTCCTAGTTAAAAATGTTAGGGACAGGAGAGGACTTCTAAAAGGAGTTGTTGATCAGTGAAACTGTTTAATTAATGGAAAAGTAGCGGCAACAAAGGCAGGACTAAATCTTCTCAAAGTTCTAATTAAATCTGCTTAATTCTTGTGGTGGGTGGTAAAGACATTGGAAATTATGATGTTCATGTGTATATATTAATAAATAGAAACATGGCTGTTAGGGGAATTACAGTCATGGCATCCTTTGAGGTTGTACATCACAGATGTTCTGTAGTATATGTTTTTAAACATCTTGACTGCGTGATTGGATTTTTTTTTTTCTAAGTAGACTTCATAATTTTTTAATATGCACTTAAGCAGTTAGTCCTGGTGACAAACAGTAAAAGCTTTTGCCCTGCAGCATATGAATTAGATGAGAATGCAGCCCTTAGTTTACTGATTCAGTTGCTCAAAGCCATGTTCAAATATAAAGTAGAAGTACTAATTAGTTTGCTGAGTAGCCTTTCTTGGGCCTTGGGGAAGCGTGGTACAGAGCCAGCGTTCAGGGCGGTTAGTCCCGTGTAGAGTCTGACTGGACCTATCTAGACCGATTTCTGCAGCATCTCCTCTGAGTTTGTATGCTGTGCTCCTGATGAATTCTCACTAAAATCTTTATCCTATGGTAAACAGGACAATCAGTTATTGACTTTCTACTGACTAGTGTGCACACATATCTCAAAATTCATGCGCATTTTTTGTAGGGATTCTTTCTTCAGAAAGTTTGTTGTCATGTAGCCCTTAATTTTTGACGCATGGTTCCATTGTCAGTAATTATTTTAAATGTATGGATTCCTGAAGATGGTTAGGCGATCACTTGTGCCTCTGCAGTTGCTATGGTGCAGATGTGATACCTGTATGCAGGTCTGAAAAGGCATCTGTAAAGTTCATGCATTTTCGTCAACTGCATTTGCTTCAAACTCTGTTAATGATTTTGTTCCTTTTATTTCTGTAAAAGTGAAATGGTTGTCTCTTGTGTGCTTATAGATTGATTTGGATACTATTGATGTCAGCAATCTCAACAGGCAGTTTTTGTTTCAAAAGAAGCATGTTGGAAGATCAAAATCACAGGTGAGGAAAAAGTCAAAGCTCAAGCCTTACTTACTCAGTGTTATTTTACGGACAGTGTTAGAAACATGCCACAATTTTGTTTCTGCTGTGAAGAGGTAAGTGTTGGTTGGTTGATCATGGCTATCCACAACATTTCATTATAGAAGTATTTAAATCTCTTAAGGTAGTCAACTTACTTGATACTCAACTGGTATCGAGTCTATCTTTAGAAGGAAGGAAGAAATAATAAGTGGTTTTTTTGTTTTTGTTTTTTTTTTATTTCTAGGTTGCCAAGGAAAGCGTGTTACAGTTTTATCCAGAAGCTAATATTATAGCTTACCATGATAGCATCATGAAGTATGTTTGTTTTTAAGCTCTAATTACATGTTTTGATTTGCAAGTACTGTGTTATTTAAATGCTACGATGGTGTGCTTTAAGATATTTTACAAGGCTACCGCAGTAAGAAGAAATAGCTGTAAATATGAGACTACCGCACACCTGAGAGGGAGTGTGGATTTTGCATGAGTTGTCTTAAGCTCTGGTAGTAAGCTGTAGTCATTTGCTTGTGTCTATTTCTAATTTTATTAGCAACATTTACTATATAAGTTTCTACACTGTAAGGATGCCCTGATGTCTTGAGCAATAATTAGATTAAAATAAATGTGAATGTTGAGCCTGTGATTTTAAAAAAAAAAAAAAGTCCTTTGTGTGTGTGTGCAGGTAACTGAGTATCATTCATATACGCCCCAAACTGTTAAAATTTAATCTTTATGATCCATAACCAATAAATAGAGTACAAGATTATGTAGATTTTCATTAGCTGTTTCCCATGTTTTAATTTACATTTGTTCAGTTTCTTCGAAGTTGATATTCGGTAATACTAAGGTTTGAACTCTGATGTTAGTAGCTACTGAAACACTGACTCATTGCATCCTTCTGAAACTGTAAAACCGTTAATCCTGTTTCCTCTTCGCTGTCTCTTCTTTGCCACCTTCTTCTTTAAATCAGAAAAATGCAACGTGAAGATATTAAAGTGTCAAGATGATTTTAAAATCCCATGTCTTGGCTCCTAAGGGTATGGAGGCACAATCAAAACCAATTGAGCTATCACAGTATAATGAATTATCAACAGTCTGATGAGCTATGGTAATTACAGTGTGCACGTTTTAGCCTCAGCTGATGGTTTTTAAGGTCAGTTACCCACAGCTCAGCCAATTTACTCATTAGGTCAGAGCAGTAGAATCACTTTTTCGTTGTCTGCCTGTTTCATTGGTCAAATTAGTACTAATTGCGATAGCTTCTTTCCAGCAGCATAAAATTCATGCTTTTGCCCAGCTTTAGACAAATGGGCAGAAGACAAATGGGGCAGTTAAAGGCTAGCAGTAAATTTATAATATGTGTAATTTATCACATGAACCTCAGCCCACCCTTTGCATGTGTATAGTTTCTGTTGTGGCATAATAACCAACAACTTTGATGTGCCATTTTGAGTATTGTTTTTCTTTTCTGTAGCCCTGACTATAACGTAGAGTTCTTCCGCCAGTTTACGTTGGTTATGAATGCTCTGGATAACAGAGGTGAAGTTTTCACTATGATTTTATATTGGAGAGGAAATACTATTGCTTGTTCATAGAAACAGAAATTTAATCTGTTCTGCTCCTAGTACTTCTGCAATGTCAGTTAAATAACAAGTATCCTTTTAGCCCATCTGTAGTTCAACTAATGCTTGTGTGCTTTACTAGAAACTTGAGAGGGTAGTTAGTACTTTTACAGGTGTTTTGAAAGTAAACATTAACTGCTATGTTGCTGCTTTATGGGAACTGATGAGTATTATGTGTACATATGTAACTTCATTCAGTTGAGTTTGCTGTATTTAATAGTGTTGATATATTTAATATATGTATATAATAGTGTTGATATAATGGTTGGACGTGATGATCTTAAAGGTCTTTTCCAACCTAAACAATTCTATGATTTTGTGTTCATTGGAAAATGGACTTTGTGAAAAAGGCGTGGTGCTTTATAATGAAATAAGACAGATTAAGGATAAATATTTGCATAGGAGGCTATTTGGAGAAGTAAAACTTTTTTTTCCTAATTACTAAAATTTTTCTTTAAAAACTCTTGATTTGCAGCTGCCCGTAACCATGTGAACAGAATGTGTCTGGCTGCTGATGTTCCTCTTATAGAGAGTGGAACTGCAGGCTACCTTGGACAAGTAACGGTTATTAAAAAGGTTAGGTTGTGTATTACTCTTGTCACTTTAAGTTTAAATCATTGGCTATTTTAGACAACAGGGAGTTGGGTGTTTTGAGATACAGTTACAGTTCATCTGGTAGTAGCATATACTATCAGTAGCATTGACAGTGTGACAAGTAGATATTTCACTTTTCACCAGGGAGTGACAGAATGTTATGAATGTCATCCTAAACCAACTCAGAAGACTTTTCCAGGCTGCACAATCCGAAATACGCCATCGGAACCCATCCATTGCATTGTGTGGGCTAAGTATTTGTTTAAGTAAGTGATTTTTTAAAAAAGCAAATAGGTACTGTGGTTCACTCTTCTGGTTTCTAAACCTACAGGTAGAGAAATAAAGTGGACACACACTTTTTCTGGTTTGGTTTGGTTTGGTTTTGGTTTGTTTTTAATGACTGTGGATTATAGCAAAAAACTCCAGTTCTTTGACCTGGGTTTTGGGGTGGGTTTTTTGGGGTGGGTTTTTTTTTTTTCTTTTAATGCAAATATGGAACGTTGGTTAGTACTTAAGCCTTACTCTTATCACAGAAAATCTGGCAGAGTAGTTTGGCACAGCAGTGTAGGTTGAGGTTACTTTATTCTTCACTTTTGTGTGAAGTTAACACATTTTTCAGTTTAATGCATGTATTAACAGATGTAAAGTTTGCTGGGATCTCGGAGGGTTATAAGCAACGCATTCAGTACTGTGGTATAAATGTAAGGCTAGGTGAACTGTTGAGTGAGTTATACAGAACTGTTTTGCTAAATTAATTTTTTGTGTTGGACATTTTGTGTTGTCAATGTTAAGTCCACATGTGATGAATCCCAACAATTTAAAAAGCAATGTATGAAGTGGCACTCCGATAGCAAGAATTCTAAAGTGGATATATATCTGTTAGCAAATATTTCAGTCTTTAACCAGATACGATGAAATTCTAGCATTGTGGTGTTGTTCTTAATTATTATATAGCCAGCTGTTTGGAGAAGAAGATGCTGATCAAGAAGTGTCTCCTGACAGAGCTGATCCTGAAGCTGCCTGTGAGTGTGATATAAGCTGGTAGCTTACCCTGTTACTGAAATGTTCTATTTCAGAGATAATGACTTGTTTCTGTACATTTCTTAAGGTTAGAGAGGTCAGCTCCATTTTCTTTTAAGAGGATTCCATTTACTGTACCCTTGGACAACAAGAGTTTGGAGTGTGTTAACAATAGTTTCCCTTACAGAACTTCATGTACACTGTGTGTAATTTAGTTCCCTCCTACTGCTGCTTATTAGATATTTTAAATAATTTCAGTGGTTTTTAGTTAACTTGATGCCTAGTGCATACCAGATGTTTTTATGTGGGGAATGTGCAAAAAATACTCTTCAAAATGCCAACAGTTTAATAGTTTCACTTGTCAGAACTGTGGCTCTTGTGGGCAGCCTAAAACATTAAAATGATTACTTCAGCTGTTGTGAAAACTTTGTAATACAGTGTAAGATGGGTCACTGGCATTCACTAGTTGTTCTCAGACAGTGTGGGTAGAATAGCTGTGAGGAACACAATCAACACACTCATCATAAAGTTCCAGTTAGCACATCCAGGTGTAAGATACATGATTTAGATGAATAGGCTTGTATCTGTGTGGAGACTCCTGTTCCCTCTGCAGCAAACGGTCCTCCCCATGTGCACAGAAACTTGAGGTGAAAAGTGAGCTTGAAGTGCAAATTAAATATAACTGATCTTCACAGGGTGGCCTTTTTCCCCCTATATATTTGGATTTGATGGAGCGCTTCCTTCCCCGCAGCTGCGAGGCTTGTCTTTTGAATTGAGGACTGAGAACTGAATGGTATTTGTAGTCACTCTGCCTTTTCCACTCCTAGCTGAGGGATTGCAAGGAAATACAGGGATTGTGTTTGAACTCTTCTAGCCTGAAACACTTCAGTGTTAATCTACATAGGAAATATGCCCATTTTCAGTGATGTTTTTGTAGCTATTCAGTATTTTTCTGTAAGGACAGTAACTGTAGTTACTGTGAAGGTGAATAAGCATCATTGTTGCTTCTTTTGGATCCTTCAGTAGATGAATGGACTTGGGAGAGGGAGCTTAGAGGATCCTCCGACTCTTCAGATTCTCTGAACATCAGATAGTGATCACCCGACAGGTTGTTCCTACAGGAAGTGCAGAATGAAATAGCTGAGTCTTAAAAAGAGTGGCGTGAAAACTCATTTAAAACAATGGCTGCTGGAATACTTGGCAGGTAGCGGGCACAATGCCACTTATTTAAGCAAAGACACCAGGACAGTTACAGGAAGGCCTGAGCTGTAGCCTCATGTCTGTAGTGAGCAAACTGTCTGTAGCGATAATGCTGTTTAGAATCAGTGGACATACACAGTGTATCAGGGAAGAGTCAATGCAACCCTTGTAAAGGGAAGTGCCTTGCATGGCTTTGCAGGTCCTTTGAAGGATTCAGCAAACTTGTGGACAAGCAGATTTGGTTTACGCTGTTTTGAGTCTGCAGGGGGCACTCAAAAACTTCTTGTGAGGAACCTGAGGGAGCTAAGCAGCCATGGGGAGAAAAAAGGACGAAGATCCTGAAGTGGATAAGCTACTTAAATGAAAGAGATAAATAGTGATTAGAAGAGTGTCTCAGACTGGGGATGGGACCAGTGCTGTTTGGCTTACATGATTAAGCAAAGTCACTCAGAATAATAAAGATGAGGACTAACTGCAAAAAGTAGTAGAAAGCTTCACAATACAGAATGACCGGGCAATGAGACATTAGGTAGATTTGGTGCAGATAAATATGAAATGATGCAAATGATGCATTGGTGAAAGGGGGGAAACATTCACAAATTTACATATAAAGTGATGGTCTCTGAGTTGATTTTTCTCATTCAGTGAAGATGTTAATAGATAGTTTTATGAAAACATCAACCTGCTGCTTATTAGGAATCACGATAGCGATTGCTGGATATGACTGGGAAAGAAACACAAAATTAATAGCATCTGTATGCATGGAATTTTTTTGTGTAGAAATAACCAGAGGTAGGAAGCTTACCTTTTTTTTTTTTTTTTCTTTGTGTTGAAGTTCTAACCAAACTAAGACTCTTCAGCCAGGAAAAGAGACTACTAAAAGGGGATGACTAGAGATTTATGAAATAGCAACACTATGTGGAGAAAATGAATAGGAAACAATTGTTTACTGCTTCTGCCAATAAAGGAATTGGGTGACATCAAGTTAAATTAGTGAGCTGCAGAAGCAAACAGGAGTAGTCACACTGTGTCTAATTCAGCTGGTGTTGGGCACAGTAAAGCCATTTTATGGTCCCTGCATAATTTTGGTTATTGACTCTAGGGGAAACATTTGGATGTGATTTTTCCTTTGTTTGAATTAAAATACTGGTTAATGCTTTATTAATAGGGGAGCCAGCAGAAGCAGAAGCCAGAGCACGAGCATCCAATGAGGATGGTGAGATTAAACGTATTTCAACTAAGGAGTGGGCTAAATCAACTGGATACGATCCAGTTAAACTTTTTACTAAGGTATCTTCTTTACCCTGAATAAATGTCTTTATTTGAAGTGTATGAGATGCTTTAAAGTTAAGTCAAAACCCAGTTTGGACACTTAATGCTAGCCATCAATTATGCAATTATGTTATAACTTCCACCAGTTTTGCTGTAGTGTTGGTCTTTTACAACACTTGCTTGTTTTACGGCATTCCATCTCTGTCTGTACAGATGGCTTCAGCAGCTTGTCCATACTGTACAGAAAAAACTTCATTCGAATTACTTTTAATATGAAAAGGTAAACTTGAATTCTGTAGGACTTTCACTGGGCATAATCAGAACCAATCTGAGGACCTAAAAGCTATCAGTCATCTGTGTATAATCAGGCTCTGGCATAAGAAAATACAAACTGGTTTAGGAGTTTTCATTCTAAATAGTTGCTGAAAGTGGGTAAATAGAGGAAATGAGTATAGACTGTAACATTGATACATAGTAATAACTTTACTTTGGAAGTTCATTGGCATGTAGGTAAGAATATCTCAGGGAGAGTATACAGACAGCTGTAGTGATGCCTTCAGTAAGCATGTGAACCCACTGTTTGGACTATCTTCATTTTCACTTTA